CACCCCCCCCCCGAATTTCCATTATGGATATTATCGAAACGTTACAATGCTCTTTCCCTCGGTTTTGTTCTCCCTCGGCGCTGTTTACAATGACGAGCGAACGCGTCTGATAATACGTCAGGGTGTATATCGCGGATTGTTTTCACGCTCGATTCGAACTCGCGTTAAAAAATCAAACGATGGAAATCCCGCGGCGCGTATTACGCAGAGTCGGCCCGATGATTATTCGCCCGATTTAATTATTCCTTTGTTCCCTCCGATTCTTTGCGTACAACTGATGCAAATATACAGGGATGTATAATACATGCAGTGAAAGTCAAAAGTAAATATATAGCGTACCTTGATCAACTATTTTTGACATTATGCTTTGGCTCGAAGATCCTTGATTTTGTGGAGAAAAATTTCTAAATATCCGGATTCGTTCGTATTATTATTGCAATTCTTTGATTCCAAATTATTGACATGTTATTCTGAACCATTATCTTTGTCATGTTTAACGAAGAGCATAGTTAAGTAATAACTGTGACGTGAAATGAAAAAGTTAAACTTTGTAGAAAATGATCGTGCACACGTGATTCAAAGCGTGAGGTATATAAAGATTTCAGCAATCGTGAATTTATTTCTTTTAAAAGTGATTTTACATCATGTGCCAGATGATAGAAAAGTGAGGAAAATTATAAAAATTCAAACGCATTAAAAAAACTTTTTTTCAGGATAGAATCCTCATTGAAATTTTATCTTTACAACAATCTGTAAACTTTAAAACTGCCTGTTTGATTTCTTTTCACCGTTTTATTGAACTCTGAACATTAAAGTTAAATGTTGGAATTTCTTAAATTTTTATCGTTTAATACACTCAGTGTTCAATAAAATGATGAAAAAAAAATCGTACAACAACTTTTAAGAAGTCGCTACAAAGAAAAGGCTTCAATCCTCGAAATGATGGACCTAAAGTTACGAAAACAAACTTTTTAACACACTTTTTAAATGTCTGACAAAAAAAAAAAAAGCAAACTCACTTATATGATGCTTTTTTACGAAATTACATTATTAATCTTAAATTATCGATAATTCTTCATTGTCGCTGGTACAATTATATTCCTCACTATACGTGTCTCGTTGTGTATTGATTTTCCTTTTTCTCGTTTCCACACACGTTCGAAATATATTGCCATATTACAATCTTTTCATATTCTTACACTCCATAAATACGAGCCTCACCCTTTTCTTACACGCACATCCACTTTTGACTGTTGTAACACCGTGTGTTACACGTGTTACGCGTTATCCCTCTGCCGTTGGAATCGAGAACGAAGGCAGGCGTAACATGCGTAACATCAGCGACGTTATTGAGATTTTCATAATGTCAAGGTTCGACGTGGTGGCCAACGGGCGCCACGAACGATACGTAAAAGGAGAGGAGTTACGTCCCGTCCAGGCGCGGCTCCATGAATAAGAAGAAAAGAAAAAGACGCGAAGGACGAATGCGAGACGGCGAAGATTTGTGGGCTGGACAACGATATTTATTACGGGGCCGAGTCATCTGTAAACATAAAATAAGCAGCCGGATCGCGTGCAGCATACACTGCAGCAGGCAGAGCTCCAGTTGGCCTCGCTCTCGCTTCAATTTCCTTTGAGCTGCGTTCAAGCCCAGCACGCGGCGCCGAGGATTTGTCAGAATGAAATATCTAAATCCGCGTGTATATGTATTAAAATATACGGCAGGGACGAAGATGCCAGGCAGCGTTACGCGGCATTAGCCCTTTGACATTGTGGCGCCGGATTTCGCGTCGCGTTTAACTCCTTTATGCGCCTCTCGCACAAAAGTCAACTTCGCCTTTCATTTTCTCCAAATGAGAGAAGATAATGACGGGCGGTACTTTCATTTAGCAGCTGGCCTCCCGGCAGTGGCGGGACACGCGCGGATTCAGGAACGTAAATGCTCTTGACCCGTGCATCTCTGCTTAATTTCAAGTGCCTCTTTCTCTTCGTTGCTCTGTTTTATCCTTGCTTTTCCACAGGGAAAAGATCGATCATCGATTTCTCAACAGAAACTTCTTCCTTTTTTTCTTTTTTTTTTTTTTTTTGTCCAATTACTGATTATTTCTCTCGTAATTCTCGTAGAATGTTGCATTCTGCTTGTTACGACAGCGATTCCATTTTTCCAACGTCATCTTTCGTAGATCGCCTTCAGATACGCAACGTTGAAATGATAATCCTCGAATCAATAAAATTTGCCGAACGTGTGGCCGTAATTGAGAAAAACGCAAGTGTCGAAAACCTTCGTTTGAGCAAAGGTATTTAAGGTATTTAATTTAGAAATTTCTCGCCAATGTCGAGAACTCTCGGGAACGTAGGAGATAAAATTGACAACAACCAATGGTTTTTCGTAAATGCTGTGTGTATCGTCGGAATACATCGTATCTCGTATATTGTTACATTAATGTCTAACATACGTAGGATATCTTATTATGTGTACGCATATCCTTGGCCCGATCATAACAAATACGATTTGTGCAGAAGGCGTCGGTGAAATTCTGTTACTCGCGACACGATGGAAATATCTTCGAGCGACATCGACGATTCTCTCTCTGTTATGTATGTACAGGTTTACGAGTTATCGTCGATGAAAATACATTGCAGAGGAACTACGTGGTGTTCGAAGGTATTTACATTAATGTTCCAGGTAATACTCCGCGTAACGTTCCGGTTAATATTTCAGTTAATACTCCAAGAAAATTGATAATACTGCCGCGAAAGGGTCAGTATCGTAAGGACAATTGCGAACAACGTGACAAAATATTTCCATCGTGCATTACGAGCACCGGTTCGTAATACAATTGTTCTTCGTAACTCTCTAGAACAGCACCGTGGCCTATCCACCGTGTGTTTCCACGTAATTTCCACGAACAATTGTACCGCTGCACTTTGTGCGACGGTTACATAAGTATTCCACTGGTGGAATATTACTCTCTCTCTCTCTGTTTCTCTTTCTCTCGTTTCGAATAATAATATTCTCGCGTAAATATATATATATATATAT